CCTGCTGCTCAGCGCGATGGAAGTTTTTGTTTGTTTTCGATTTGAAAGTTACGGGTTGCTGCCGTTGCTTTTCATTTTGTTGGGACTGTTTTTTTTCTTGTTGGTCTTTGTTGTTGTGTATTACTGATTGGCCGCAAATGTGTTTGTCTAATGCTTTGCAGCTCGAGGAAAGCCGCGCCAACTTCTTGGGATCTTTGCGGCGGAGGCCTGGTGATCAGGAAGCGGCCGCGCAGCCGCCTGCAACTGAAGACCTAACCCAGGCTCGTCGTTTGTTGAGCATGCTTCCTCGCTTGCCTCGGGACTGTGCCCGCTTCAGCGAGCAGCAAGTTTACAGCAAGCCATCGTTGATCCGTGAAAGACGTGATATCTTCGCTGCCGGCACCTGGTCGCTTGAACGAAGACCAGCACCTGTTCATGCTTCGCTTTGCAGATGTCCTGGACAAGGTGTACGATGAGGCAAGGGTGAATTCAACATGAATAAATAAATAACACCCAACCCGGGGTGTTTTAGTGTAGCTTCTTGTAGTTGCTGTAGCTTCTTGTAGTTGCTGTGCGTTCGTGCTTTTTCTGTGGGAATGATGGGTGGGCACTGGCAGGAGCAACGCCTGCCGCCCGAGCAGCGGGGTGTCTACCACTTGCTGCTCCTTGGCCAAGGCGGCTCTGGCAAGACCCACATCGTGCAGAACATCATCTTTCCGGTCATGCTTTTCATTTGGCCTCCGGATGGTGGGCAAGAGACATTGAAAGTGGTGGCAGCGAAGAATTCGCAAGCAAAGAATATATCGACGGATGCAGTGCGAGCCAGCACGCTCCACGCAGCTGCGTGCATGCGCGTGCAGAACTTGTCCAATGGGAGCATGGCGGCGGGCACACAGGAGAAGCGTCTGCAGAAGCATTGGCAGGCGTGCCGCTGTTTGATCATCGAGGAGATCAGCATGGTGTCTGCGCTGCTCTACAACATGTTGAATTTTCGGTCGATGCTTGGGCGGCGGCACAGTCACAGCGTGGAGCCACACACGTACACCAGAGTCGGCCACGCCTTCGGACGACTGCCTGTTGTCCTACACCTGGGAGATTTCTTTCAGCTCCGCCCGACAGCGCAGATATCTCTGTTGGACGATCTGTTGCGGACGCACTCCGATGGCAGCTTGCTGCATCCGAATGTCATGCCGGAGATTCAGCACGCTCAGAAAGTCTTCGGAGAAGTCCCTGACGTCTTCGAACTGAGAGGCACTATGCGCTTCGTGACTGGCGATCCTCTGATCGACATTTTACAATGCATGCGTGCTGGGCGAGCATTTCCAGACGAGCTTTGGCGCCAGCTGAAAGCAAGATTTGCGCAGGATGCTGGCGTGGGCCAAGCCGATCCACGACTCAATGAGGAGAACTTCCGCAGCGGCTACTGCATGTCCATCTACTGGGCTTCTCTGTCACGCATGCTATCCCGCCGCGCGGTCTTGGATGCTCGCCAAGCAGAGGTGCTTCTGGTGTTGCTGCAGTGCGCTGATGAATGTTCTGAGCTGGACAAGGAGGCGGCGTTCCGTTTTCTCAGCCAGCCAATTCCTAACCGGACAGGGCATGCTCATGGCATTCTTCCTTGTCACGTGGGCATGGAGATTCGGCTGCTGGCAAAGCTGGATGGCCAGGCTGGCATGGTGCAAGATACGCAGGCGGTGATCTTGGACTTCGAGTTCCACGCGGAGGATCGCGCTGCATACAAGCGACTGGCACCAGGGAGCTTGTTTTCTCCGCGGTTCCTGCCGTCTGGCTTGTGGGTGTCCGTGAAAGGTTACGCCGGCAACCAGGATTGGCCGGACGTGTTTGAGCTGTGTCGCTCACATGTGTCGACGGACGAGGAGGCGGAGAAGCTGGCCAAGAGCTTATGGTTCCTGCCGGCTGTGGAGGTGGAAGTGTTTTTTTCCAGCACGCAGAAGTACACTGTTCGCCGCTGCGGCTTTCAGATCACGCATGCCAAGTTTCTCACGAGCACTGCTTCGCAAGGCATCACGCTGCGCCAGGGCACCATCGTGGATTGTGCTCGGCTTCCCGAAATGGACGACGACAACTGGTGGTTGCATCTGTATGTGATGTTCTCCAGAGTCACGAAGCTCGACGACCTTCTGCTATTTCGCCCACCGCCTCGTGATGTACTGGAGCGAGGTCCTCCATCCAGCATTCAAAAGAGCCTGGAGGTGTTCTTGCATCGCGCTGAAAGATGCCGAGCTGGAGCCCAGCAACTCAAAGCTGCAGCGGAGAGGCATGCTGCACGAGACCTCTTAGAGTACGAGCATTGTTGCCAAGGAGCCAGGCTGCCATCGCACAGGACACAGACCCGCGAAGTGCTGTCCCATTGCGCAGTGTGAGTGCCAGTGCCAGTAAGTCGCAGCTTGTTGCCGGCCACGGCAGTCTTTGGTGCAGGCGTGTCCGCGTGCGCATGTGCAGCCACAGTGCCGAGCCTATTGCCAGTTCTTAGTGCAGTGCCAGTGTAAGCGCAAGTGCAGTGCAGCAAGTTTGAGTGCAAGCGCAAGTGCAAGTGTGCCTTTGGTGCAGGCGTGTCCGCGTGTGCATGCGCAGCCACAGTGCCAGCGCAGTGCCAGTTCTTAGTTCAGTGCTAGTGTGAGCGCAAGTGTAGTGCAGCAAGTTTGAGTGCCAGCGCAAGTACAAGTGTGCCGCAGATGGCCGCGTGCAGGCGCGTGCTTTGCGTTTGTGTCGTTTGTGCCGCACGCGTTTCAAGCTATGCTGTGCAGGCAGCGAACTGTCCAGACAAATGTAGGGAGCTCAGCAAATAGTTTGCGACGTATTTTTCTGTTTATTGATTGCATTGTATTCGCATTGCGAGGCTTTTGCGTGAGAAGGGAGGCGCAGCCTGGCGTCCGCGGACGCGACCCAGCACAGGAAGGTCTGCCAGCGTTCGGCTGACAAATGGAAGTGAGTTTCCTCGAGGCCTGCGCGCTGAATCGGTTCTTGCCGCGCTGTCAGTCTCGCTGCGCAGGCTGTCATGATGAGGAGCAGCGGGTAACATCTATGAGTGCTCGGCGTAGCTGTTTGGCATGAGTGTACTGTGCAGCGCAGTGGTTGGGGGAAGGGTGGCCATCATGTTCGTTGCTTTGAGCGGTATCCTTTTGCTTGCCTGCCGAAGATGCGGGCGTAGCAGTGCATAACTTGTCAGGTTTTCCATTCCGTGATCAGACGACTAAATCTGGACCGGGCCTCAGCTGGTGTCTCGTGAGTTGCTGGCATGTGTTTCTGCTGTCATCACACATGTGTTCATGACTTCGATCAGTTGGCATGCAGGCGCTTGAAGCGGTTCTGGACTCAATTCAGCTCGAACAAGCTAGGGTAGCGCAGGCATTATTTTTTTGCTCCGCAGTCCATAACTTGTCCGGTTTTCCATTCCGTGATCAGACAACTAAATCTGGACCGGGCCTCAGATGTATCCGCTGGTGTCTCGTGAGTTGCTGGCATGTGTTTCAGCCGCCATCAGATATGTGTTATGACTTAGATCAGTTGGCATGCAGGCGCTGGAAGCTGGTGTTTCCCGTAGACATAGTGAGCTCAAGTTCGGGCTGTCGCAAAAGCGCACGCGCAATCCAGCATGGAGCGGCGTGAGCCGCTTCGGTCCTTTTGCGCGGATGCGCGCAGCAATGAGTTCTTTCATGTCGGGAAAGGCAATGCTCGCAAGCGCGTCCGTGACTTCGCCGAGGAAGATCGGCACCACTAGCTGTTCCTTTACGCGGTTCAGCAGGACTGCTTGGAGTGCGCCCAAGCATGGATTCAGAGAGGAGCTGATCTGGAGCGTGGCACGCTCAGCAACCCTACCTGGAACGCGGAGGAGTGGGCCAGTCATGCCGGCGCCCAGCGCACTTTGGCTTTGCTTCGAAGTCAGTTGCCGCAGAGCTCGGCGCAGACTCCCGGTGCGGGCTTGCATGGCGTTTGGCAGCCTGCGCCAGTGGCAGGGCCAATCCCGCCGCCGCCGCCCAATCCGCCAGATGCGAGGCCAGCTCGTGTGGTTGACCGTAGCGAGTTTTTCCAGTCAGCCAGGGTTGGCCCCGTTTTTGAGCGAGCTTTGTTGGGCAACGCAGATGATCTGGAAAGGATCGTCGGCAATGTCGGCGGGGCAGTGCACCATGAGAGGCCTATGCCAGAGGTTTGTGACTTGCCCGAAATCATGGACTTTTGGACAGTTCGGGAGTATGTCTATTTGGCTCAGCTGATGTTGGCCTCGCGGGACTCATCTGCTGCGCAGACACAGGAATTGGAAGACGTGCTCGCGAAGTTGGACGAATTGGAAAAGACAGAGGCGTCCAGCTTGGCCCAAGAGTGGTCCAATTTGCGTATGTCTGACCAGGATAGCCGCAGGTTTGAGGCGAGCTTGTACGGCCGAGCGCTTACTGTGTTTGACCGCAAGCAAAACAGAATGCAGCAGAAGCTCCTCGAGCATGCCTGTCTTTGACCGGATGCTGCCAAATTGGATGATCTGCTGACGGGCGACACTAGCTGCTCTTGTTCATTGATGACCAGGAGGGATGGTGGATTTCCATCGCATCCTAAAAGTCAATGCTGGCCTTTGCGCATGTACATCTACGCGCGGCAGAGCGTGGAAGAGGACGATGCAATGGCCGAGCGGCTCGAGCAGACACTGGAGATCATCCAGAAGTTTGAGCAGGAGATGGTCGAGAGCGTTTTTGACGGCATGGAGCTCTTCACGGCCGTGCAGCGAGCCAATCTTTGCGTGCTTCTCGGCATTCCGAATTAGCCCGATTCGTGACCCGGCACGGGAAAGTTTCGCGGCGCGGATTTGCCGATGTAGCGCGCCGATCTACTGCGTTTCGTGACCCAGCACGGGGAAGATTCGCAGGAAAGATTTCGCTGAGCTGAGGGTGACCAAAAGATTACAGTCCGTTTGCTCACGTTGCTGATTGCATTTTGAGAGTGCTGACTTTTGCAAGCAACCACTGATTTTGCGGGGCCGTCCGGGAGATGTTCACCAAATTGTCATCATGCAGACGGAGACCATCGGTGAATGGAGTGCTCTATGGCACGTGCCGGTTGCCATCGAAGCTGTCGCATCTTTCGTCGCCTACTGGCAGTTCATCCTGGATTGCCAGAAAGGCCAGAACGCGCTTCTCTTCCAGGCTGAGTGGACGCCGGGCAAGCGCGTCCGCGCAGTGAGAGACAACATGCCATCTGCGGCCAAGAAGTCCAGCGCTTGGCACAGCCCGTAGCTTCCTGTTTCTCTTCTTTTTTGTTTCATCGCATACGGCCTGTTCTTAAACCAACTACGCGACCCAGGAAGGGAAGGTAGTGGTATCGGAGTGGCCGCGAGATAGTGTTGATGTTCGCATCTTTTTGGCTGTCTTACTTTTTTTTGTTTCGTCGCATGCAGCCTACTCCCAAACCAACTACGCGACCCAGGAAGGGAAGGTAGTGGTATCGGAGTAGCCGTGAGATAGCGTTGATGTTCGCATCTTTTTGGGAAGGCTCAGCGCACGCCATCGTCTGCCTGACCCACAAAAAGCCAGCTATGCACTGAGCCATCGACATTTAGCTAGCCAAGCGCGTACACATGCACGAAGCAAAAGTATGCTGCCGTAGCCATCTTGCGTTAGCTGGAAAACGAAATGCGTTGATGAGTTAGTTCCTCAATGACTATGTCGCCCAGTTGCACTGGCAGCCGAAAGCCAGCTGACGTGGTTGAAAGAACAGATTGAGGGCGAGCTGACCGCGCGCGCTTGGCTGAAGCGCGGCCAACGGGCTCAACCCGACCTGGCTCCTGGGATGGCTCCTTGGAGTGGTCCGAACTCCCAGATGGGTGGCGAGTCACTGTTTACTGTCGCTCCTGTGAGTACAGAATGTTGGCCAAAGTGCGCCCTTGGTGGGAGTGACATAGACACCTCAAGCTTTGTGGCTGGACACTTTCGAGCGATGCTTATTGGTATTGCCGCGATCACACGCAGCTGCAAGCGTGACTTTCGAAGACAGGCTGCTTGCGCGCGACCCACTATTGGGGAGGTGCTTTTACCAGAAGAGCTTGGCGCATGCAAAAAAAAAGCACCTGGCCGCATGTCAGGTTGCTTTTACAGCCTGCGATCCTCAATCGATGTAAGTGTGGCGCATCTTCATAAGCATGGACATGTGGGGTTATCCGGTCCTTTAATTGCTTTTTCAGTTTTCCTTCATGTTCCGTTGCAACCCGCCAACAGGGTCAAAGTCTGGCCCAGTGTGCAGGGGCCTTGGCGTAGGAACAGGGGCCGGGGCCCCGAAATGTCGAGTGGCAAACTTTGGCTCCAGGCTAGGTCATCATGTTGTCGAGGGGTACTCTACTCACTTGCCCAAAGCCGACCTTTTGACCGCTCAGTTCCCCTTTGTGGTCCAAAATGAATCATGCCCCCAAACAGTGAACCTTTTATTCAAGGGTCCTTCGGGCATGTCAGAGAAACCCCCATTTGCATGCAGAATGCAGCATTTGCTTGGAAGAAACCTTTGAGATCCAGCAACGCCACGGATGCCACCAGGTCACCAGCGCACCAAGCAACAGCACGAGCCTGGATAGCAAATGGGAAATGCCAACAGCACGAGCTGGTTGAAATGTTTTGGTCCCAGCGCTTGCGAAGGACCCGTCGCACCTTTGATCAGGAACTCCCCGCGCGCGCTCACGGCGAGTCGGCCATGCCATGGCTTCCTCCCGGCTCTTGAGGCGCTGCAGGCGGGGAGTGACAAGACACTAGCCCACCACTTCCGCGTTGTTAAGCCCCCCCCCCAAAAAAATACATGGAGTTGTAATAGCCCCTGATAGGCCTTATTTGTTAACCCCTCTTGGGATTTGGGGAGGGGGGGGTGCTTGACAACCATAGGAACCCAAAACAAAACTTTTATCGAAAATTTCCTACCTAACCTATAAGAACCCCATTTAAATGCGCCTACAATTTTTGCGCAAGCGTGCCAATCGGCCAGCCGCCTGATCATCGGGTCATTTTGGGTTTGGGCTGGAGCGTGGACTCAGTAACCAGTAGTTTTAGGGGGACACTTGCGATGCTTACCTTGGTCAGCCAGCCATTCCCCCCAAGAAACTCCACCCACTGGTCCTGCTTTTTGGTGGGCATTTTGCAAAAACTTCCTGTAGAATTTGCAGTGGCTGGTTTCTATCATTCTCTTTCTTGTTGTGGGGGCGGGGTAGCATGTAAAACCACAAAACACGCATCGACTTGAACTGAACCTGGAGGTTTTCTGGTTCCATCTCGGGGGCACACTGGCTTTCTCGTTTGCAGGCTCCGGCGAGGCTTCAGCGCGTGCGGGGCCGTGGAGAGGGGCAACGGGCAACATTGTTTTGCACGCTCGCCAAATAACAGTTGGGGGTTACTCACCAAGTTCCGATGCCAGTTGGGAACACAATGACGGGCTGTCCACCATGAAGAAGCCCAGCTTTGTGGGATCTAACACATATGTGGTGGCCTCTGCGTCTTCGGGGTGTTCCCTCTTCTTTTTTTTGCGTTGAAGCCACCAACATCATGTGTTGCATTCTAATATTTCTGCAGCGGTTCAAGGACTCCACGTGCCAGGCGGCCTTTTGGGTGTTTTGGATTCCCAGTTTCTGCTGTTCTAGTGCCTGAGCAATCGCCACAACTTATGAGATTATTGTTTTGTGATTTTTTCCCGAACGGTTTGGGGCCCCATTGTGAGAAGGCTTGTTTTTCTTCCTCCCTTTCTTCCTTTAGTCCTTCCTTCCTTCTTTCATTCCTTCCGTCTCCCTCTCTCCCTCCACTCCCTCCCTCCACTCCCTCCCTCCCTCCCTCCCTCCCTCCCTCCCTCCGTCCCTCCGTCCCTGCTTCCTGCGTGGTTTTGGGACCTCAGACTGCTTTCCTTTTTGGGACCCACTTCCAATGATTGTTGGAAAGGGTTTTCTCAACGTTGAACTTGAGAGGGTTTGTCTCAAACCACTTGGACCGTCTGGATATTGAAGCTGAGGTTGGTGAATTTTTAGGAGTCACTCAGCGGACTGGCAGTCTCTGTGATTTCACCTGCCCAACAGGGGCCACAGCTTTAGGCATTGGGTCCAAGCAACGCAGTTGAGGCGGTGTGTCAAAGTTTCAGCGGCATTACAGTCAGCGAGGTGACATGCCTCAAGCCTTCTTGTGGGAAGAGCTTTGCAAACTGATAACCTTATAGCGGTGTCCTTCAGTTGACTTTGAAAGCTCCGTTCTTTTTTGACCAGCGGGGTATAATCTGGCACAACATCCTACCCCGGCAAAGGTTCGGCCTTAACCCTTTTCACTTTCAGATTCTCCTTCAATCAGATTGCTTCCTTCATGGGCCGCCGGCCCGACTGTCGACTGCCGCATGGCCCTTGGCTCAAGGAAAGCTTTTGGCACCACCCTTTTCAACACTGCAACTGCCTCAAAGCCAGACAGTTCTTGAACTTGCAAACAATTTTCTGACATGATCAAACATGTCCCATACATTTGTCCGGTTTCGCGGTTTCCCGTGTCTTTCCCGCGTGGTGCCAAAGGCTTCGGACCGAATTCGTTGGGCCAATGATGCCCATGGCAAGACGGGCCTCGTGAAGCGAGCTGGTTTTCCCGCGGGGGTAACGGGTGGGGCGGCGGGCAAAGAGGTTTTTTCTTGGACCCTCTGAGAATCTGAATGTCGACCCGAGGAAAGCCGGAAAGGATACAGAGGCAACCTTGTCCAGCGCCTGCGCTTTTGAAAAGCTGCGACAAGTTGCCCCAATCAGGCCCGGCCGAAGCCCCCCGCAACTTCCTGGGAAAGTGCATGGCATGTGATCATGTGGTGCCTTGCCTGGTGCCGCTTGGCTGCAACTAAAGACATTCCCTCTAACAGAGTGTGCAATTTTTTGCGGTTACCCTTTCTTTTCGTTTTGAAGGAAAACCAGAAGGACCGCCTTTTGGGGGGGTCCCTTCAAAAAACACCCAAACAAGTTCCATAAAGTGACATTGCGGGGAGCGCTTAGGAGGGCCTTCCGGCTCAGTTGACATGGAACTGGCTGTTCCTGGCCGGCCAAATCATGCACCGGGTTCTCGGCAATGCGCCGGAAGTGGGAAGTGAGTGATGAAAACCAACGAGTCTCTGAACCTGCGCTCACGCCCTGAACTGATTTTTCTTTTCTGTTCTTCTTTTTCTTCTCTTTCGCTGATTGTTCGTTTGTTTGATTGTTTTATTTTGCTTTGTTTTGTTTTGTTTTGTTTTGTTTGTCTGTTTTGTTTGTTTTGTTTGTTTGTTTGTTTGTTTGTTTGTTTGTTTGTTTAGGGAAAACAAGTGGTTCAACCCCCTACCGCAAACACCAGGTCTCCCACTTTCAACTTGGGGCTGAGTGCACCTTGCGCAGAGGGGCAAGCCGGCTCGGACATGATTGGGACAGAAGGATGGAAGGACAATGAAAGGACAGAGAAGACAAGAGGATGAGGGGCAGAGAGGGAAGGAGGGCAAGGGAGGGATACTAAACCCGTCCTAATGGCCTCCAGACAAGGCAATGGTCTGCCTTCTCAGTCAAGTTTTAATGGCTGCGGAGGATGAAAAGCCAACCTATCGGCGCACAATTACGAGGTTGCTCTGATTCAGTCTGATTCAGTGAGGGATCCGCCATCCCCAAAGGAGAGTGGAGCATACATCCTGTGATTTTTGAAGCAGAATTTGTCCACCCGCAGTAAGATCCCAAGGGTAACTCGAAGTGGGAAACTTCCGGCACCCCAGCCAAACCGACCGCGAGGTGTGCTCCTTGCGAGCCAGGCAAAGGGCTTGGGGCCGTGTCGGCACTTGCGGCCGAAACGCCTTCCCTTTGTCAGATGTTCATGTTTGCAAGGGAAAAGGTTCCCCTCAATGGTCCATCCTCATTTTGATTAGGGGAGAACTGCCTTTGTCCCAACAATTGGGCATGACGAGGATGTCAGCTTTCAAAAGCCTCACGTTCACTTCCGAAAGTGGCCAGTCGAGGACCCATCCAATCTTACACTGTGTGCGTGCGTACATTCAGATATGCAGATATGCACATACAATTTGCAATACACAGCTGCAAAGCTGAATTTGTGTATGCTAAAATAGGCTTTCTATTTGGTTGCTTTCTTCATTATTCATTCAAGGGACAAAACAGTATTTATTCTGACCAGTCAGTCTCTCTCTCTCTCTCTCTCTCTCTCTCTCTCTCTCTCTCTCGCTCTCTGAATTGTTTATGTGTGTGTGTGTATGCACGACAATGCCCCCCCCTAAGCATGGTAGAACAAAACACCTCAATTGGCTTGAATCGAGGCTTTTAGTAGCCTTTTTGATCTATGTTCAAGGGCTCAGCCAAAAAAAAGCAAACACATTTGTTATGAGTCGTGAGTATCCTTCGCATGGCGGCCAGAACATGTGTTGCGCGGCGTGGGTGGCATAAGGGGTTCAAGTGCCCAGGCTGCAGGCTCCCCCCTACCCAAGGTAGACCATTCAGGGACACCCTGAGAATTGGTTCCAGCCGTTGGTTTCAAGGTAGACTTAATCAAAGGGACTTAGCTTCCCGGGAAGCCACGATGGCTGTTCAAGGGGATGTGCTGGTCAAGGCTGTTGCCATTTTCAGTGGCCGCAACCGCAACTGCCAGACTGCTGCTACCATTTTGCGTGGCTGCCTTTTTGTGGCCCTTTGAATCTGGAAAGCGGGTTGGGTGCGCTTTGTGGGGATTCCCGGCCTTTGCCTCGACGCCGTCGAGGGTCCCAGGGCGTCGCGTCGTCACGTCTCGGTGGCCGCGCTTGATCCGGATCAAGCGGAGCCTGGGCCTGAGATGCTGGAGGCAGAAGTTCGTTGACTTAGGAGTTTTGAATATGGCAATTTCCATCTTCAGGTAAGTGAGTTTAGAAAATATTGGTTTCCGAGCTGCAGATATAAACGTGCAAGTCACGAGAGGCTTTCGGAGTCACATGCTCACAGCTGAGGGTTGACACAGGCACCTTCCGACGCCCTTTTTCAAAAGCTACACCCACAGTTTGGCGAAGAGTTTTACAAGCAAAGGCTGTTTGCTGTTTCATTTGGTGCCATGGAGATCTTTTCGAAGGAAGCGATCTTCTGGCTGCCCCTCGGCTGCGAATTGGGAGGGAGGGGGGCTCGTGTCGGGATTGCTGAGATTGGGGGGTCGATTTGGTTGGGTTGAACAATTCGGTGAGAATGCAAGTTTTTTCGTCCTTTGTCTTGGCTCGGTGCTCTTGCCCGAAAACGATGATGAATAGTTGTTTTTGCAGGGTGGGACTCCTCGCCGCCGTGCAACTGTCTTCACTTTTGGCACACCCGCTCATGCGTATCACGTCATATCTGCGCGCATGCTGGCCAAATGTTAAGCACACCCGCTCACGCGCATGGTGTCATAAGTGCACACATGCTGGCAGATGATAAGCGCAGCCGCTCATGCGCATCGTGTCATAAGTGCACACATGTGGCAGATGATAAGCACAGCCGCTCACGCGCATCGTGTCATAAGTGCGCACATGCTGGCACATGATAAGCACATCCGCTCACGCGCATCGTGTCATAAGTGCACACGTGCTGGCACATGATAAGCACACCCGCTCACGCGCATCGCGTTATGAGTGCACACATGCTGGCACATGATAAGCACACCCGCTCATCATGTCAGAAGTGCACACATGCTGGCACATGATATGCACACCCGCTCAAGCGCATCATGTTATATCTGCGCGCATGCTGGCCAAATGTTAAGCACACCCGCTCACGCGCATCGCGTCATAAGTGCACACATGCTGGCACATGATAAGCACACCCGCTCATCATGTCAGAAGTGCACACATGCTGACACATGATAAGCACACAGGCTCAAGCGCGTCATGTTATATCTGCGCGCATGCTGGCCAAATGTTAAGCACACCCGCTCCAACGTATCATGTTGTAAGTGCACACATGCTGGCACATTATAAGCACACCCGCTCACGCGCATCGCGTCATAAGTGCACACATGCTGGCACATGATAAGCACACCCGCTCATCATGTCAGAAGTGCACACATGCTGGCACATGGTAAGCACACCGGCTCAAGCGCGTCATGTTATATCTGCACGCATGCTGGCCAAATGTGAAGCACGCCCGCTCCAGCGTATCATGTTGTAAGTGCACACATGCTGGCACATTATAAGCACACCCGCTCACGCGCATCGTGTCATAAGTGCGCACATGCTGGCACATGATAGGCACACCCGTTCAAGAGTATCATGTCATATCTGCGCGCAAACAGGTCCGAAAACTTTTCGACGTTTGAGGAGGGGATGCTAAACGTTTGTTTCGCCTAGGCGAAATACTTCTTTTTGGGAATCTGCCCTGCGAAAACCCATATAAAATGCATTTTGCTGAATCATTGGCTGCGAGAGAGAACGTGGCAGGCGTGGGGGACGGGCGATGTCAGTTGATGTTCTTGTAATGTGGTTTCGCTTGCCTTCCACGGCGGCGAGGCGTTCCACCAGCCTTGTTTTTCCAGTTGTTCTTTTAAGGGACCCTCCCCCAAATTCCTAGTGTCCTTTTGGTTTCTATTTAGTTCCAGAAACAGACCCCCTTTACTTAGCATGCAGTTGAGGGCAGCATTGAGGTGGATTTGGCCCTTGGTTTGCCATCATGCCCCCCCGGGAGGTATTGTGGACGAACTTGAGAGATGGCGCTCAGAATGCCCAGCCAAGAAGCCGCCCTTTTTCCATTATTTTATTTTCTTAACCAGGGATTCTCCTCTCTATTCGCCAGGTCGCCTGGCTTTAGTTAGGCGCAACGTGGAAACCACTGAGGTGCACTAAGTTACAAAGCTTCTAGTGCTCGGCAACCCTGGCCTTAGGTGAGGTATATGCAGGATAACTCCGGATTGGGGCACTTATCAACCAGAGTTTCGTCCCAAGTGGATGGTCATCCAAGTAGAGGCATGAGGGTAGTCCTATACCAACCAGCTTGCTGTCTCTTGGGTGGGCAGGTGGGCAGGAAACGGATGATCATTTTCGAAGCGCCCGCCAGACCAGCTCTTCAGTGGTCCTCGCATGCTTGGTAGGGTGGGTGGGGGAGGGAGGTTATTTGTGCATTACCTGCCAACAACGACCTTTGTGTGCAAAATATCCAACAGTAGGAAGCCAAAAAGGGATATGTGACTTGTGCTTCAAGACTTGTGTACTTTTTGGGAAGACCATCTTTAGTGGCAAGCAAAATCTGTGTGTGTGTGTATATGTTTTTCTTCTTCGGTGATTCACTTGATCGGAAGTGAGACAACGGGACTAGCGAGACAACTACAAGATGGCGACCTTTTTACTTTGTTTTTACGGGGAGCCCAAGAGACACCCAGCCATCTTTGAAGTCCAATTCCCGATGTTGCCACATACCCAAGACATGACAACAAGACAAGCAACTGGTTTCCTTCCGGGTGCTACACGGATGATTGTTCTTCGGCATCCTTTTGCGCAAGAAAAGCAGACACCCGTGTGAAAAAAGAAGGACATGTTGAACGGGCTGAGGGATCAGCACGGGGACTCAGGTTCTGCATGGGCGTTCCCGTGTTCATGGCCTACAATGGCGGGGCAACCGCTGCCACAGTGGACACCATCCAACAGGCGGGACGCGGCTGACACAAAGCCAGTCCGTACAGTTGGGTGAGCTATGTCACAATGTCTGTCCAGTTTGGTTTGGTCATCCCCTTCACTTAGCCACATAGAGAATTGTACCATCTGCTTTCACCCTGGTGTATGTTGCACTTAAGGGTGGTTTGACAGAGTTCCCTATACTTTCCTTTCGATGTATTCAATTCCTGGGTCAGTTTGAGCTGCCATCCTGTTGCTCGTGCATTTTTTTGACAGGGGAATCATATTCCTTCCTTGGGTGGGGTGATGTTTGACCTCGGGCGGCGGAGCGCTGCCAATAATAAGCATGGGCCAGCACCCCAATCTTTTGGCTCACAAATCAACCGGAAGCAATCAGCAAACAGCCGTTTTTGGCAAATCCACTCCATCGGAAGCGAGTCTAGTGGTCGTTTGGGCAGCGATGTTTGGCCAACCCACTCGGAAATAAGTCCAGAAAGAAGCTTTCCCACCTCCTTTTCCACGGATCCTTTTCCTAAGCACCCCCGCATCTTCCATGCTTTTTCAGGGCTTTTTTCGTGGGTTCTGGCGAAAATCGCTGGAATGCAGGCTGGGGGTTGGACTCCCACGGGGATCGGCCTACTTGGGGCCATGGACAAGCCCCTCGCCTTAGTTCCCGCTTTCGAGTGGCTGGCTGAGTGGCGCTGAGTGGCCTGGGGGTAGCGGAAAGCCATGTGGGCCTGGGGCTTGCGAGGAACTTTCGCCAAGCACGCAGGGAAGCACGGGCGAATTCTCGCCCCAAGGGAAAAACTAAAACGGGGACCTCATGCGCCTAAAATGGGACGATACACGACCACCTTCTGGCTTTCCCTTCAACGGGCTCCAGACGAATAATTCCCATTGCTGCGAGCCCTTCCTAGATGAGCACCGCTCGTTTGGATAGACCATTGGTTTGGTTTCCCTTGGCTTCCCTTGTTCTTTCCCCCACTGCCAAGTTTTCTCCCTGCCGATCGAATCGGAAGCTCGCGGCCAAGGCTTCCATCTGCATTTCTCTGATGTTCTCGTGTGCCCCTGACTGTCATTGCTTGGGTTCCTTTTTTCCAATGTGCATTGTCCAAGTGGAAGGACGTACGTCGGAGCGCCGTTTGTGTTGGGTGCTGTTTTGGGCGACCAAGAGAAGGATATCCAGGAGCTAGTTGGGATCTCAGTGGTTTTGGTTCTTCAGCTGAGGTAGTTGGACTCATAAACGGACAATTCCTTGGGTTCTAAGGGCTTGTGCGCCAGACGTTTGGGGGGTTTGGGGGCCGCAAGGGGTGTTAAGAGTGGATGTTTTCCAATTGTGTGGACATGGGCAGGCGATGCGCAAATCTAGAGGTGCTTGTGGCCACATGCTGTTGTTCGCGCCCCTTTGCCGTTTCCTAATAGTCCACGTGGGTCGGCAGCCCGGGGGTGTGTACCTCCACT